AACAAGGAACTACAGTTGGTTTCGTTACTTAAACCCAAATAATAAATATATGAACGGCCTGGTTAATTGGACAATCCAGCCGATTCACCATCACAGCATGGTGAAGCCCTTGATCTGGTCTCCAGAGAGTGTGATTCACTTGGTTTCCTTCTTTCAACTGCGAAACAAAGGCATGTGGCACGGTCGTGTTGTACCCACCCTTCTTATGAGGAACGCCCTTGACTGGGTTAATGAGCAAAAATACCTGGGTGGTAACTCGCACACGTTGTCAGATCCCTGAAGTCCGCTACTTCGAGACATATGTTTCGGAGTCTCACCATGTATTCCCTGTGCCACCAACACCCTTGCATTTCACCATGTACAAGTCCTTGTCCATTCCTGTGTTGACTACGCACCCCTGCCCTCGTCAACATTAGTCGGACTGCTGTCAACCGTCCCGAAGTTATCCAGAGGATAGCCATCATCCTTGGGCCCTAGTTGACAGGCTCTACTTCTCTCATATACCAAACTTTGTCTTTTCCCCTACAGGATCCTGTGAGTTTTACCTAAGAACTGCCATTTCCATTCTACGGGATCCTCGGGCACCATGTCAGCCAACTTGACTCCTGCTGTCCGAGGCCGACCTCCATCTAGAAGACATTAAGAGGGTCACTCATCTGAGCCCTTCAGGAACACGACCTGCCTGATATTGTTGTCACCCCTGCTGTTGGTTCGCTCTTCTCCTGGCTGCATTTTTCAACCTGAAGTGATTGCCCTTGGACCGCCCCGAAATCCCACGTGAACCCTGTTATTCTCTGCAAATACCACTTCCAGGATCGCCCACTGGTCCCCAGGTATGGTCGTCCTCTACACTGATGGTTCTGTTGACCCTGCTACAGGTCGGGCCGGGCTGGTGTCTACATCTCCGCCCTGATGCCCCTGCGCCTATCAACTGTTTCTCAGAGTTTTGACTGGGCATCCTCCACACAGGTTGAACTAATAGCCCTTTTGCTGCCCTTCTCGCTGAGGAAGAAGAAGCAGATGGTTTCTGCCCTTGCTTGACTGCTGCGATTCCAGGTCTGCTCGACGGATCTCATTTGGATCAGGGAAAATAAGGACCTCATCCTCCGAATACGAGGGTTAACATCCATACTTCAGGATGCACTGTCCCACATTCCTATGGATACCTAGTCATGTCGGTATCTTGGGGAATGAGGCAGCAGATGGCTTTGCCAAGACTGGCTGCAACAAGACCACACCTGACTACGTTGTCCTCGAACACTTTACAGCTTAGGACCCCACCCGCCCTCAAACAGAGAGAAGCTCAGGAAGCAACCATCCCTGGACTCCCCGCCCACCTGGTACGATGTCCTCCGTAAACTTCCTGATCTCTCGTATGTCTAGGGTGCGGAAAGGGATG